AAAACATTTTTTTACTCTTATTGATGCTTTAATTAAATCAGGTTTTACAAAATCAATATATTAATGTCCTTAACAATTCTTTTAATGATAATAATACGTGAGAAATTGTAAAGTGTTGTCCTACTCGTAAATCAAAAAGACAACGCATAATCTGGTTACATGTAAGCACGCATATCTTACTAATTCTAATAGATTAACATGTTCTTCCCATGAGAATTAAGCATTTCGTGATTATTAAACTCACTCACCATAATCATCGTCCGATATTGACATAGACTGCAACTTCTTCATTATTTTTTCGTTTATCTGACTATCCTCATTTGGATGGGTTGAATTTTTTGTCGTTGTATTACTTGTTGTTATTGTTGATGATGCAGTAGTTCTATCCATACAACTACATTCCACTATTTTATTCTGATCATTATTTTGAATTTGACCTTTCTCACTCACTTGATTTCCATTTCCATCTATATATTGATTTTTTAGATAATGTTGGTCCATATTGTCATTAATTTCATCTGATATACTCATTTTATATTCCATTAAAACATTATCATCACTGTCACATTTCTTATTTGAATTTTGATCATCTGAATCCATACTTAATCTTCCGTAACGAAATCTCAGCCATGAATTATTACGATCTGTAAGTATTTTTTATCATCAGTAAATAAATTTTCAGAAAATTATCATAATGTTTAACACGTCGTCTGTACCATTTGATCATTTCTATGTTCAAAGCAATTCAGAAATGACGTCATTAAAAAATACCTTTTCAAAGAGTATCAAAAAAAACTTAATGTGTGACACCATTTCAACGGCTCCTTGAACAAATCAAAAACCTATACTCATATGTAGATATATAGATAAATGGATGTATAATGGATAAAAAAGTGAAAAGATTGTTTGCACACATCCAGCAGAATATAATTCTCTGAATTGTCACAAAACCAAATTATAGTAAAATAAATTACCAAATAATGTGTACAAAACTACCAATATTTCACATTTTTGCTGATCTGCCGGTCTGCGAAAATGTATTTTTGCAACAAAAGTCGCAAGTCCCAAATGTTGTTTTTCCACTCAATCACATTTTCATGAATATTTGCATGTTTAATACTGAGTGAACGAAAATGAGAAGGCAAATGAGAAATGAGCGATAATTTATTAAACTTTCAACGGATATGATATCCGCATTAGAGAATAATAATGTCTAAATAATTCACTTAGTAAATGAAAGATTGATATCATGTTGTGCTGAATTTTAATTTTATGATAATTTATTTAAATTTTCTCTACAGATTTTCTTCTTTGATGTCACAGAGGTTGAAAACTTGACTCAATGAATGCTAAAATTGTCCCTTATCAATAACTTTGATATTTAATCTTACTTAACCTTTCCTTATCGTTTTACTTCTTCCTATATGTCCATCATCATGAAATCTAATTAATATTAATATACATGATGCTGTGTCTATGGTATGTGATTAAGAAATTTTATTTCTGTTGTAATGAGGAAGCATTAAAGCATTTTATTATAATTTACATATCATGTCTGTTGATTCCGTGTCATCAACATAAACCTTTTCTTGTATTTCCACTTGAGAAACGTTAGAGTTGGAAAATAGAAAAGTATTAATTATTCGAGTCATTAAAATGGAAATTTAAAACAACGAGAATGAATCTCCACGTAAGGGTTCAGAAGTTTCAAGGTATAAATACTTTAAAGCTCAAATGTTTGAATAAAAGAAGATTTTATCGCAAGGTAGTTGACAGTTCCTATCAACTTAATAGATATTTATTATTATCGTTTTCTGAGCAACAAATCACTATGGTTGAATGTAGCATATAGTTCCAAGTAGACTTATGAAGGCAACGAATGATGTCATTGAAGAAATCAAAACTTCAAAGCACGTAGAATGATATTTATCTGAGTAGACAGTTTCACTCTTTGTTATATTGTATCCTTTTGTTTAATAAATTAATCTTAAGTGCATTAAGCACAGATGTTTTCACACAGAAAAAGATATTGACTTGGTTGATCTTTTGGCTTTTCAAATGTAACATTTATTGATTGCATCTGCCAATCATTATTCATTTTTGAAGTCTTTAAAATTCAACTGATCAACTTGACCAGGATAATCTAGAACAAATTACTGGCAGTAAATGCTTGTGAAACAGTGGCCTTGTAAAAAAAATTCCAGTAAAAGCTTTTAAATCCTCTAATTTTTATCGGCTTTAAAATGTCACGGTTGATGGTCGTAAGTTCACAAAATAAAGTTTTGATTGTTTGATTTAAAATTTGATGGACATATTTTCTAGAAATTCGCAAAGGTATTGATTTTGTGAGATCTCATACATTTAAAAATTAATCTCTTTTACATTCCCATTTGAATAATTTAAGAGTTCCGTCCCACTTTGTACGGAAAGTTCACCTGAATTTCTTCTTTCGTAATTCCTTGTTATATTTTTTGATGGATTATTATTAAATGAATTGAGAAATGCTTCCGTTCTCCTTAAAATCCAAAACATTTTTATTCTGTTTTTTTTTTTTGTTTTCAATTAATTTCACTGTCACAAACTTTTGTATTCCTATATCCTCATATAAATGTAAAAATATCTTTTCTCTTTTTTTTTAAATTAAAAAATTCACTTTTCCATTTAAAAAGGTCCTTTTTGATATGTCAAATAAATTCTGGTCTTTCAGCGAGATTAAAATTGATCCTTTAAAGTCGAAGTGTTGATATGAACTGAAATATTATCCTTATTCACACTGTGCCTTTATACTTCGAAAATTTCTCTCAGTAAGATTTTTCGAAAACCATTTATGTAAAAGCATGCGCTTTTAAAGAGCTTTCAAAAGCTTTATTCACAATTTAAATTAATAAATGCTCATTAGAATTGTCACGGCATTCATAGGTCAATGTGTAGGAATAAAAAACCTCAGGATTAAATTTTAAAACTTAAAAAAAACTATTAAAATTTCCATTTAGATATTTCAGTTATTTATTCAAGAATCAGAAGCTGTATGCAACAGGTTTAATATTTATTTTGAACATGTTCATTTGCATTGCTTTCAAATAAAACCGCAAATATATGTAATGTGTTTTCATAGTTCGCATTGTGGTCATTTTGCAATCATGTTTTATCATTAAGCTTCGCTTTGCTATTGTATTAAATTTAAAACTGGCTTTGAACATCAAATTCACATTTATTTCTGTACTGTTGATGGAAAACCAATGTTGGTATAAAATGGTCAATATCAAATTAATGCATCGACTGTAATAATCCTTTGTAATACAAAGTTTTAAAGGATTTCAATGCAATTTTCAATTCAAATGACAATTTACATTCATATTCCATAACAAAGTGCTAAAAATAATTGCCAATTAAATAACAAAACATGCAGTATTTCTGGCTTAATTCAAATGAATGATTAAGCATGAAATTCAATTATACCTAATAAATGGTTCATTAAGAATTGATAGCTCATTGATTATGCAGTAAAACTTAATCTTTAATCATGGACTGATGATGTAGATGAATCATAATATACACTAAACGATGTCGTTTTATTATTTTTCAATTAGTAGTCCTATGACACAGATGTTAATATTCCCAAGAAACTCAATTTTTGTTTTATTGATTTTTATCTTTATCCACAGACGCATTGTTTCTTTAAGGGGATGTTTAGGTAATATTGTAAATAATTCAAAGCTAATTGTGTCGTATTCAGCCTAAAATTGTAGATAAACTAACAACGAGCAAGTTACACAATCAAAACTGATATAGAAACTATGCTACATCCATGTTTGCCTTTATATGGGACTTTTTCACTATATTCTAATCAGAATTTTTGTGACTCAAATTTTATCATCTTTTTTTCTCTTCATCTTGTCATGAAGTTGAAATATAGGACATACTGTAAATAATTCACAGTTCATTTCGTTGAAAGTTTTGAATAAATAATTCTTAATAACGTAACTTTCTAATCTTTGTGCCAAGCTTGATTAATTTGAATAAAATGGTAATTCATATTATGATGTATGATACAGAGAAAAATATATTTACGTATCATTATTTCTTTTAAAAGAATAAGTAAGTTCTTAACTCCAACGGATTATTAAATTTCAAAAATCGTTTTAAAAGCTGTGTACCCATCTGAAGAAAAATTAATGCCCACTTTTCCCCATGTTGTAATCGGGAAATTTTTGTCTTACAAAGTCTTACAATTTCGTCACATATGATTAACTCCAATAGTTCAATGATAATGATCATGTTGTGAAATCTAGATAATTAATTCACAAATTAGTTGAATTAATTAGCTTCAAATTACTTTTCATATTACATATCCTGTGCATGTACGTACCTACGAAAATCGTGGAGTATATTTTTAACTTTGATTTAAAAAACTATTAGAAGTAATAAAATGCCGGTAATAATGTTTTCAGACAGAGGATTTAAATGAATTAGTAACATGTTATTCATGAGATTAAAGAATTCAATTAAAATGACATAAAATCGATCATTAAGCATGTATGAAAATTTATTAAATAACTGCCAATCATTAAGTTTTGTTTGAAAAATTTGAAATTTCGTTGAAAAAATTTAATGTCTTCCCCCAAAAAGAACCTTAGTGGCTTTTTAGCGGATTTTTTAAACAAAAATTCATTTCTCGTTTTTCTGACTGACTTTATGTTTAATTCATAAATAAGTGTATACTTAAATATAAACGATTAGAAAAATAGCTTTCTCGAGTAAGTATCTCTGAGGAAACTTGCAAATAATTTAACCATTTTATCAATAACTGATGATGGAAAGAAAGTTTCAAACATTTTCGTATTGATAATTAATGAACTGTCATTAATTATGCGAATATAAAAGGAACTAGTAGAATTAAAAATCATTTAGACAAAAAACAAGAATATTTTAAGGAATGAGTTGTTGACTCATAAAAAGCGCTTTAGTTTGGTAAAAAAATAAAGACATTTCAAACTTGTATTTTTTCAAATTTAGATCATAGCGAAAAAAACAAAACCGAAGAGAAAAGATTTTTAAAATATGTATAATATTGAGGTTCTAGGTGAAAATGGTGCTTGGTATAAGGTAAGGAATGCTCTAATTAATGTATTATCACATTTTCCGCATAAATTTCATTCAATTTACACAGTATTTGAAGCACATTTTTTCACCGAAAAAAAAAATTTTTTTCTTGTCTTCATACTTTTACGATTTCTTCATTTTTATTGCATTATATTGTGATTTTATAAGTTTGTTATCATTAAATTGACTTTATGTGAGTCATGGAAGGCAATAATTGGGGAACTAGGAAAGTATCGGTGAAATTAGTTGAAAAAGAATCGTAAAAAAAACTAGCAAGTGAAAAAAATCAATGAAGTCGCAAATAGAATTTTCCCATCATTTTCCATTCTTTTGTTTCTGGATCCTGACTATTAACATAAATATCTATTTTTAAATACTTTACAGGGCATGGTAAATGATGTATTTGAAGATGGACTCTTAGTATCGTTTGAGAATGAGTAAGTATGAGCTGAACTTACAGACTGGCGATGAAAGAAATAACAAAAAGTTTTATATCCTAACAACAACCAACCATCATCATCATTATTATTATTTTTCTTTTTTTCTTTCTATGAATTGTACAACTAAAAACAACAAATAGTTGGCAACCAGAGTCAAAGTTCCTTTTTAATCAAATTCGATTGCCACCTGATACATGTTCAACACAGCCAAATTATGTGGAAGGAATGGAAGTGGAAGTTTTCTCGAGATCTAATGAACGTGAAGCGTGTGGATGGTGGGCAGCAGCTATTAAAATGATGAAAGGCGATTTCTTTGTAGTCGAATATCTGGGATGGGACAATAAGTATACGGAAATTGTATCACAAGATCGCTTGCGAATTAAAAATCCCAATAGCACAATTAACAATGCCACATACTTCCGTTTTGAGATTCAAGTGCCCGAGGAATTGCGAGAATATGCCAAAGTTGAGGGTGTTCATAAAGAGTTTCAAAAGTCATCTGGAGCTGGATTTTGTCGCTATGATGCTCAGAAAGGAGTTCTTGTGTTACTGTCACGCTCTGAGGCTTGTCATAAGCGTGCTCTTATGATGCACGATATGCATTTTCGCAATCTTACACAAAAAGCATTTTTGTTAAAGAAAACTGAAGAAGCAGCCCGCCAGTTAGAATCAACAAAGTTGCTCATCACTGGAGGGTAAGTTTAATCTATTCTTGTTACTTTATTATTATTTTATTATTATATGAAAATTATTGACAAAAAAACATCAGTCCTTGTTCAATCCTTGCATGCTTAGTGCTTTCTTTTTGTAAATACTACAAAATAAATTCCTAAGAACTTATTGCTGTGCTATTTACACGAGAACTGTTTTTATTTCAATTAAGTTTCAACACATAACTCATTAGTTTATTCATGCTATTGCTTAAATTCTATACGTAATCAATCTCTAGTTCTCGTCTACTTTTTTGTTGTATAGTTTCATGATTAAGAATGACTAGGCTTTAGCACTAACATAACTTGTCAATATCCTTTCATATTCCTTCATCACACATCCTTTAAAAAAACTAACAAAAAAAGTAAACAATCGAAGAAAAATGTCGAATTATTCTGTATCTAACCCATTATTCTCACAGAACAAAATCTTCCACAATACAACGTAGTGGCAAGAATGAATACAGTGGACGTGTAAGGTACGATTGCATGTATGCGAATGCTGCAACACTTTTTTTCATTATTTTGTTGTTTGTTTCTTTTGTTTTGTTATTATCATTTATCCTGTGTATGTCTTAATTTTTATGTTCTAACTCTAAATCTCATTTCCTTCCAAATCTCATTTCTCCGTTCAAATAATCCTACTAGAAAAATAATAAGAGTACAGACATTGATCAGGTGTGAGAATACATTTGATTTCTTCTTAGTTCGCCATATTTTGATATGTTTGTGTATTGAGTCTTGTAGTAAACAAAAAAAGTCCATCACTTAATTACATAAAAAAAATTGCAATTAATTTATTTAACTAGATTTTCGGATGAATTTCAAGTACGTGAAGATCTGATGGGACTTGCAATCGGTGCTCACGGTACTAATATACAATATGCTCGAAAACTGGACGGGATCACCAATATCGAATTAGAAGAAACTACCTGCACATTTAAAATCACTGGAGAGGTGAGTTAACTCACTCAAATTTAAATTGGCTCAAGTGTACTTTAGGGGGGGGGGGGGGGGGGTTCTATTTCAAAAATATTTTTTTGTCAAATTTCACTCAAATTAACTATTTTACTATTTTCTACACATTTAAAGCATTTTAAACTTGAAAAAATAATAAAAATTTTTTTCATATATTGCCCCCCCCCCCCCTAAAGTACACTTTTACCTTTAAATTTCAAATAACTAGTTAAATTGATTGTTTTATAAATTCTAGACCGCAGAAGCAGTAAGCAAAGCACGATCAATGCTAGAGTATGGAGAAGAGTCTGTTCATGTACCACGCAATCTTGTAGGAAAAGTGATTGGCAAGAATGGTAGAATCATTCAGGAAATTGTCGACAAATCTGGTGTTGTGCGTGTAAAAATCGAAGGTGATAACGAGCCTGAACCTTCGACACCTCGCGAAGAGGGACAAGTTCCATTTGTATTTGTTGGCACCATAGAAAGTATTGGAAATGCAAAAATTCTTCTCGAGTATCATCTTGGTCATCTTAAAGTAAGGAAATGCGCTTTATATATTTCAATGCTTTTGTAATCTTAATGATTTCCTTTTACAACCTTAGGAAGTTGAACAATTACGCCAAGAGAAACAGGAAATTGATCAACAATTGCGTGCTATACAAGGTTCCAATATGGGATCAATGCAAAGCTTTCCAACATCGCGACGTTCTGATCGAGCATATAGTACTGAATACGATTCGTCGCGTTCTAATCGTGGATCAAATCGGGGTGGACGTGGTGGATCAAATCGTGGACGAAATAGCATGAATAGTGGTGGAAATCCAAGATATAGTAATCGACGAAACGACCGAGGAACTGGAGACGAGACCGAAGAAGAATATCATCGTGGTGGAAGTTACAGTAATAGTGGAAAATATCAAGGAAATGCTCGTAGTTCTGGACAGAGAGGTAATTTCTCACAAAAGCCAGGCGGTAAAGGCGATTTATTAAGACGACGAGGAGGATCTATTGCAAAAGAAGATCAGCCAATTCGTGATGGCAGTTCCGTTGATAGAGGTAATAATTTGACAGAAATTTTAATTAAATCATTTAATATATTCAAACATTTTTTCTAGAGAGTCAATCGTCCAATGAAAACACAAACAGACGTCGCCGACGCAATAATAACACTAAAAATCCAACGCATTCAAGTAAGAAAATTTATTTCAAAAATTGACGAAATGAAAATAATTAAAAACGTATATTTTAGCAAATGGAAACTATAATAACAGTGCAGTAAATAATACAAGTAGTACTAACGCTAATCAATCTTCTTCAGTGGATGTCAATGCAAACGAGAAAACGACAGCTCAATCGTCGAACTCATCACAACAGCAGCAGCAACAACAACAACAGCAAACAACGACGTCGGGCAACACTAATAATAACAGTTCAAATACATCATCGAATGGTCCACCAAAACTACAACGCGAGCGTACTAATCGTGTTGGAACAAGCGGTGGAATAAGGAACAAGAAACCTTCAAATTTACCTACCAACGATAAGCACGGAAGTGAAAAGCTCGTTAATGGATCATCATAAACTGATTGTATCAGAACTTAGCGAATGATCTTTACACTTTTACTATTGATAAATTGACTTCGGCTTATGTGTGTTCCTCTTCGGGTGTTTTTGTTTTTCTCGATCGATAACTAGCAAATGAAGAATGACGATAAAAAATTATTGCAAAAACCTATTTGAAGAAGTTTCCATGAAATGTTTTTGATAAATGATGAATAACAAATTAACTATTCAACAAAAAATATCCTTTAAACATGACCACATTCATGTGATCCATTTATAACTTTATTTTCTCATATTTCTAATTATTACGATTCTTCTTTTTCAAAAGCTTTAATTTTTTTTTTGTTCATTACTTTAAAAATAAAACGAAAAAGCTTATGAAGTTAGTAGATTGTCGGCCATATAAATTCTGATGTAAATTATTATTACCCTAAAACTTAAGGACACAATTACCTTCTTTATTATTTTGGCCGTGACTTGATAAGATATTTCATTAAACATTTTCGATATTTTTTATCCCTGCTTCACATCCATACACATATTAATAATTGATAATATTTTGTCATTCTAGAAAAATAATTCATTTAAATTTAAATTTTTCATATTTTTTGTCTCTATATTTTGTTCCCACCATTCTATAATCATATACTAACATTATGAAACTATACAAAATGAAGTAAAACTGTATAAAAATGATACTAAAAACAACATCAAACATTACTTTCATTATCTGTGTATAATTAACGGTTTTAGTATCTTTAACTAATCTAAAATGAAGCTAGCTTCAACTTCTCATTGGTTTCAAAAATGGAAAACTGTTAATCATGATTTTCCCTTCAGGTTTGAAAAGCTAGGATGAAAATCATTCACGACTTGGTTATATTATTTATTCAATATTTAAATTCATTGCAAGAATTAAACAATAATCATGGTCTATAGCAAGATTTAAGTTTCAGAGCAAGCTATAGAAAGGTTAAGTAAGGAAAAATCTTAACTTGTTGAGAACGAAAATTAGGATCATTGTCCTTTTTCATCAATTTACTTTTGTTTCCGAAAATAATAGGAATAAAAACTAAAGCAAAGTCTCTCGTGATTCACACGATAACAATATGATAAATTTTTTAATAGAAAGATAGAAAGAATAGGAATACATGACGATGAAATAAATATGCAAATGCATAATAATTAAACTATGAAAGGGAAACTACTACATAATTACTGTAAGATTTCACAACAAAAATGAGAAAATTATAAAGGAAAAGAAGAAAAATTATGAAATTGAAAATTTCAACAAATGATGAAATATTCAGCATATTAAATGAATGTGTACTTTAGATTAGTTTTTTTATTTAAAAAAATAATGATAATGATGATTATGAATTTATTCTAAATATATGGAAGAGCTATAAATTTCAAGTTTTAAGAAATTTTGGAAGCGATTTAAAAAGAAAAGTCTGGAAAAACATTAAAAATGCTGAATGAAAATAAAAAAGATTCTGCAACATAAAGTTTCTGTTTTGGTCGAAATTTATTTATTTTTTTCTGTTTGATACTTGACACAAAGATCATCTAGACATTAAATCGATAGCAATACACATTAAATTTTTTAAGCAAATTTTGCTCCATTAATTTATCTTTATTTAATGTTTAGTTCATCCGTAAGAACCATACCTTTCAATTGTTAAAGGAACTAAGTGTTTTATTTGAAAGTTATGGCTCATCGGTTCATCATAAAATAATAAAACTTTACATACATATTGTAAGAAAATCTAACCATCAAATGAGGAAAATAAAAGCTTTTGTTTTTTTTCTGGAAGCTACTTATGGAAGTGCAGTTAAACCTAAACATTTAAAGATTGGCATGTTATAATGAAAGTTGAGTCAAGTAACATCAGAACTTCGAGCTTTCATTAGTTCGACTTGTTGATTGAAAGCTTGATTCATACATCAGTAGATATACAAAAGAAACTTCCTTAAAAGAAAAACTCATTGTTTTCCTCATTAAAAAGAAATCCTATAAAAATCCGAAAACCAAAGTCATAAACAGAATGATGATGGAACCCAATTTTCGTGAAATGAAGAACTGAAAAAATCAAAATCATTCAAATTCAATTTTATGAAGGAATTGTATTTGAAATTGATATAAATGTCTGATCATTGACAAAATTAATAACAACCATGAATTACAATGGGTCATTCACTTATGACATCTAACAATTTTAGGAAGGAATTATTTTGCTTGAGATTTCTACAAAATTCTTAAAATCAAGGAATTTTAAAAGATTTATTAAGGGGCTGTTCACTTATTACGTAACGCGAAAAAATGACTTTTTAAACCCCCCCTCGTAACAAAATTTGTATGAAAAAAAAATTTCCTTGTTTGAACCGTAACAAAATCTTAGACCCCCCCCTAAAAGTGTTACGTAATAAGTGAATGGCCCCTAAGTATGTCAAGAAAATGTCACTTCTAGTACTCGTTTAACAAACTTGGTCTTTAATTAATTTTTCGGTTACCTCCCATGTCATTTGTGAATGATTCTTTAAAGAGAGAGAATTTTCATCCTTTGTATGTCAATCTTAAGAATGCGGTGTTGTGTGAAAATTAAATGATAAATAACTTAATACTGCATTAGAAAGGTAGATAAAAAATTGAAAGAAAAGAAAAATATTAATAGGCAGTCAGAAATAATACACATTACATCCAAGATTAATCAGAAATAAGGAAGAAAAGTGGAAACTTAATATAAAAAAAAAAAAAATTGAATCAAAATGACTTTGTATGCTGATCATCCTTTAATTTCACATTGATATATATTCTTAGTTTTAAAGATGATGATAAAGAAGCAAATCATAAATGAATAAGAAAGTATAAATGATTTCCTTTTATGTAGATAATGAAATGGAATTAGTTTCAACAAATTTTTTCATATTAAGACATTAAGAAATGGAAACATAAAAAATTCAGTTTTTATTTTTTTTTCTTTTTATATGGAAAGTTTATTGTAAATTTTTACTAATACGAAGAAATGAAACATCAATTAACTTACTACTAAATTAATTTCCCTCAAAATGCTTACCTACTGAAAATAATAAATAAAATTATACAAAAATGTGTCTGCAATCAACATTTTTTAAAAAACAAGAAGAAAAAAATAGGAAAAATGATTAAATTGCCTTTTTAGTATTGTGTAAATTTATCAATACATCATGAAGCGAGAGGAGATTACACTTTAAATGTGAAGAATATTCTTAAAACCGAAAGAAATTCTTATTTTTTTTTTGTTCTTCTTTAATCCAATCGTGCTCTAAATTATTATAATTTTATGAAATAAAATTAAAAATGATAAAACAAATTTAATTGATACAAAACATGAAATTAATCTTTAAACTTCTTCTCATTGTAAGCCCATCATTATTCCTGCATAATTTCTTGCAACTTCATCTGATCTGCCACTACTTCCAATGCTCATCATCTTGTGAATGAATTTATTTGTCAAATGAGGATAAACAACTCGTAGTTGAAAAGTCATACCAATGCCAAACATATAGACTAGTTCACACATTGGGAGACGATTTATTATTGTCATTATTTTCGGAAGTTGTATGTTATTGCTGATGTAATAATTATCGAGATATTTGTAAATAACCTGAAAGATAAATATTTTCAAGAATTACCAATATGTCAATAGTTATTTACAACTTGAAATGTTTGAGAACCACTGGTTTAAAGTAATACTAACTTCAATTAAAGTTGAGATTCCCATTGTGAAAATGATGTAGCGAGGGTAAAAAATATACCCCAAAGATGAAGCTAGTCCCGCGATGAAGACATTGATTGGTCTCGGATATTTCTTCATTTGATTAAGTTTACAGCGAACAGCTTTAAATATTCCATTGGATGCCAAAATGAACATGAACAAACCGAAATCAAACTTTTTCCAGTACTTTGTGAATAATAATTGTGGATTTTTCAAAAGAGTCATTAATCTTGGAAAAACAAGCTTGAACATTGCTACTCCAAAAGCGAACAAAGATGTTTGCTTGACTTCCTTATAATTGAAGATAATAATTAGTTCTCAAGGCACTTTATTGCAAATTAATGATTTCATTACCTTTTTCAAATAGTCAGCACATTTAATAGTTCCATGGACGCAAATATCTTTTTCTGAATTCTGGTTTGCAATTTTTCCAACATTTACAAACCAAAATCTGTTGCTTTTTAACACGTGCAGGCAGTACACAATGATTGAATTCATGATTCCATAGAGGAAAGTTGCACCAATTTTAGAGTTTCTCAGCCAAGCAACTGCTTTAAACTTTGACTGTTTAATTACAAATTCTATGTAAACATTCAAAAGCGACAATCCATCAATGTGCAGGTATTTCTTAGGCAAAAATCCACAAAACATTGCTCCAAGAGATGATGGCAGGCAAATACAAAGTGGAAAGTAATATCCCTTAAATATTTGACTGCAAATAAATTTATGTTATTAATATTCATTAATTTTATAACTCATTGACCTTACTATGCAGCACAAAATAAAATAAAGCCAGTCGTAGTGATGAAAAATCCCGAAAATATGCAGCGTGTATAATTCTTAAGAAACTCTTTCCACGTTTTGATTTCGTTCCATTTGTGGAGTTTAAAAAGGAGCGGTAGCTAAGACGATATTTTTTTAAGGACTAAAATAAGTTTGAATTAGTCTCTATTCAACTTACAAGGCATAGCGGGAAATAAAATTTCGCAGATCCTAAAACTCCATTTTGTAAACATTGGATCGCAGCTTGAGTGCACGTTTTTCCAGGATGATGAAAATCAGCACATGTTTTATTTGCAGCGGCCTGATAAAAATATTTGCTTATACTTCCTGCCATTGTCTTATCGCGTTCGCTTTTTTCGATATACTGACATGTGTGACAGAGGAATATTTTATAGCCTTTTCACTTATTTTTGAATGTATAATTTTATAGCATTTTTTTTTTGAATTCGTCCAGGAATAAATTATTGTAGAATTTTTAATCGCAAGAAGAAAGATAGGAAGTTAGTCAAGTAGTATAAAAAGTAGACAATTGTTGTTAATATCACACAAAATGCTAGATAAATTTTGACATTGGTTTATTCATCACGCTTGTTAATCTACTTCTTCAACTGTTGGCTTGCCACCTTGTTGCTGCTGCTGTCCACTTGAGTGTATTTTTGCCATAATTGGTGAGCACACTTTTTGAGTATCCTTTAAATGATCATCAAATTCTTCCTTTTCGGCTAGTGTATTTCCATCAAGCCATGACAATTCTGTTGTACATTTATCACGGACAGCTTTCTTATCATTATCAGTTAATTTTCCTGCTGCCGCATCTTCAACAGCTTGCTTGCATCCAAAAATGTAACTTTCCAATTGATTTCTTGCTTGAATACGCTTCTGTTGTTTTTCGTCATCCTCGCGATACTTCTCAGCATCATTTAACATACGATCAATTTCAGCTTTTGATAAACGACCTTTGTCATTCTTAATTGTAATTTTTTCCTGCTTTCCTGTAGAACTGTCCTTAGCTGACACATTTAAGATACCGTTAGCATCAAGATCAAATGTAACTTCAATTTTTGGAACTCCTCTTTTTGCTGGCGGAATGCCAGTAAGATCAAAGGTTCCCAACAAGTTGTTATCTTTAGTCATTGCTCTTTCCCCCTCAAATACTTGAATTGTAACAGCATTCTGGTTGTCAGAGTAAGTAGTGAAAGTTTGTTGCTGCTTACATGGAATTCTTGAATTTCTTTCAACTAATTTTGTCATGACGCCACCAGCAGTTTCAATGCCTAAAGACAATGGAGTAACATCAACTAATAAAACATCTTGAATTTGTGAGCTAGTGTCTCCGATTAAAATAGCAGCTTGAATTGCTGCTCCGTATGCAACTGCTTCATCAGGATTAATTGAAAGATTTAATGCCTTTCCACAGAAAAATTCTTGAAGCATTTTTTGAATCTTAACAATTCTAGTAGATCCACCAACAAGAACAACATCATCAATTTTCCCTTTATCAAGTTTGGCATCCTTCAATGCCTTTTCAACTGGTTCTAAAGTTGATCTAAATAAGTCCATATTCAATTCTTCAAATCTTGCTCTAGTAATTTTTGAGTAGAAATCTACTCCATCATGTAAAGCATCAATTTCAATAGAAGCTTCTGTTGACGATGACAAAGTTCGCTTTGCTCTTTCACAAGCTGTTCTTAAACGTCTCAAAGCTCTCACATTTCCACTTAAATCTTTCTTAAATTTTCGTTTAAATTCTTCAGCAAAATGAGTCACTAAGCGATTGTCAAAATCTTCTCCACCCAAATGAGTATCTCCAGCAGTAGATTTTACTTCAAAGAGTGATCCTTCATCAATTGTCAGAATTGAGACATCAAAAGTTCCTCCCCCAAGATCAAAAATAAGAACATTCCTTTCACCTTTTAAGTTTTTATCCAATCCATAAGCTAATGCTGCAGCTGTCGGCTCATTTATGATTCTTAAGACATTTAAACCAGCAATTGCTCCAGCATCTTTGGTTGCTTGACGTTGAGAATCATTAAAATATGCAGGAACAGTAATACAAGCATCATTAATTTTCTTCCCAAGATAAGTTTCAGCAATTTCTCTCATTTTTGTCAAGACCATAGAACTGACTTCTTCAGGTGCAAATCGTTTAACTTCTCCTTTAAATTCAATTTCAATTTTAGGCTTTCCACAATCATTGTATACTTTAAACGGCCAATGCTTCATATCAGCTTGAATTTTCTCATCATCAAATCGTCGTCCAATCAGACGCTTTGCATCAAATACTGTATTCTTTGCATTTACAGCAACCTAAAGAAAAATGAAAGGTTATGGAAAATGAATGAGACATATGCATGTAATTTCACAGTAGAACGATTCAAACATTTTTCATCCACCCACTCAGTTCTTCTTCTTTTTTTCATACTCGCGTGTATGATTTGAATCAAATATTATTATGGAAGATGTTAGTTGTGCACAATTTTTTTTAAGTATCTAAATTTAGATATTTTTTCGTAAATTTTCCATATCCATTTTTCAACAATACCATTAAATTATTATGGATAAATAACTTACTTGGTTCTTCGCTGCATCTCCAATTAATCTTTCTGAATCATTAAATGCAACATAACTAGGAGTTGTTCGATTACCCATTTCATTAGCTATGATATCAACTTTGCCATGCTGAAAGACACCAACGCAAGAATAGGTTGTCCCAAGATCAATGCCAATTCCAATTTTTGCCATTATTTTTTTTGAAATTTTCTTTGATCTAATGGAAAAAATGAGATACAGGTTGATTTACTTCATTGCATGATTTTGTCACAAACTAAACCTATTTATTCTTAAAATTAAATTACATTTGAATTAATCCTGCCTACACAAATTTTAAATTATATTTTTTTGTACTATTTTTATCGAAAATTTTCCACCAATTTCAAAGTTCTTTAACGATGAAGAGCTTCTCTCCAACTAATGATCGTCGAGAGCAGACATTGAGTTTTATACATGATTTTTTCCGAGATCGAAGAAAATTCTCGTACGTTCAACAGGTTAGCATGTCTTATTTTCTCATCTTTTGATTTTTGCGTCATCGCAAGTGAGTGATAAATTTTTCAGTCTGACTCAGATTATATTTTTATGCTGAAAAGTATTCAGCAATGAATTTAAAAAAATATTTTTTTTGTTGATCCTCTTAAAATCGGAAGTATGACAAAACTTTTGAAAATATCGTAACGAATGGTACATTAACTTAACTCTATTCATAAGGCCCTGCATTAGGCTTAATATTATGCAATATTATTATGCAATACTCAATTTATTCAATAAGCTTTATGCTTAATGTAAGTAGCAGAATTTTGGAAACAAAATATTTGTTTAATGTAAAGCATACTATCTAGCGGAACATGATATATGAATTATTTACATCAAGAAGCGGAAAAGAGGAAGTAAAATATTTTTGTTATTTTCACATAACGATAAAAAATGTGTTTTATTTGATTGATAATTTTTTGGGTCGTTAACATTTCTAAAGATTAGTATGTCTTAGGTATAATGCAACTTGAACTTTGTTTACACTCTTTTCTTTTTCTTTTTCATTCAAGTTCTCTTAACATATGAGAAATAAATAAATAATTTTAAATACAAAGAAAGTCATAGAAATAAAAAAATATTTTGGCAATGATAATGAGTATAAATTTCACTCGCACGCTTCCGTTCATTTCTATTATGTGAAGTTAGTAATGTGTACAGTAACTTCAATAAAGTTTTGTTTGTTTGAATTAAAAAAGAAATTGAACCATCGATTGAACTTTTTGCGTGCATGGACTTTTGATTGATTGTTTATTGCATTTTATGCATCTCACACCCTCATTCCACGATATTCTCACTTCTTTTTTTGGTGCGAATGAAGTGCTGGAATTTTTATTATTTTTTAACAAAATTATCTTCTTCATTATCGTTTTCAATTGAGGACATTTCATTTGGTGACTTCGTGATATAATCATTAAATTTAATTACTTCGTTTCGATACGGATAGGCAGTTGTCGTTTTTATAGATGATGTTTCTGGATTTACAGATGTTGTTTCCAATTGTGGAAACCATAATTTGAGCATTCTAAAATAACGAGTCAGTAATAAATTGAAATGTTTCTTATTTTTCAGTAGATGTTACCTATTTCCTGGAAATCTTAAATCAACAGCATCAAGCATGTATTGAAGTCTGCAGTAAAACTCACTCTCTCCTACGCACCATCTGTAATAATTAAGTTGCGTTTATATGAATTTTAGTAGCTGAATTTCTTTCTTACCTTATATCGTGTGATTCAAAAGCTTCAATTGCTGTCAATGCAAAGTTTGCTACTTCTTTGACTCTGAAATCCACATCAGCTATGAAATGGAAATTTATTCAAAGATTTTGTTAACGCTCATGTTAATGCAATAGCTTACCATAAGAATCTAATAATTTTGACTTTCTTTCTTCATCTTCATTTCCTGATCCTCCAGCAGATTCCTCAAACTTCTTTTTCAATACAGGAATAAACATCAATAAGCAAATAACAGCGATGAATTTTATAATTTTCTTAAATATTATGAGCTTTAAAAGAGCTTTTGACATTAAAACCAAATCGATCTTTTTGATTAATTTTTCTATAAATCCTTCATGGCCTTTTTGAACAGTTTCCATGATTCCCGTTGGAGGTCCATATTGTGGTGCAGGAGGAGGTGGCATATAGGAATTTGGATAATATGAGCTTGATCCGGGTGCTGTTGGAAAACTTACACTAGGAGGTCCATAATTATTTGGTGGAGTGTATGTATATCCAGATCCTGATGGTGCTGAAGGAACGGAAGGCGATGAAGGATAAGAATTAGGAGATTCATATGTTGGATATGTGTTCATAGGTCCATAATTAGTTGGAGGACCGTATGACGAATGTGATGTATCTGGAACTCCATAACTAGTAGACGGAGGTATGTAGCTGTTTGATTTTTCATCTTGTATTGCTGTTGGTGGTGACTGATATGTGTGATATCCATTGTTAGTTTGTTCGTTTGTACTTGTCATATCCTGTACTGAATTATGAGTATTATTGTGATGGTTATATACAGGATAGAAGGCAGGCGAGGATTCCTTATCATTATTATTCACTTTTTTAGTATAAAAAGGATTTATATATTTATAGAGAGGAGTTGTTAATAAAAAATCTGCACCCATATCATGCTTTTTCCCTTTAACATTATATAAACTGTCGAAAAAATCATCAGTGTTATAAAGGGCATCGAAAAATTTGTCACCAACTTTCTTATCGTGACGAATTACTTGAAGAAATGGAAAATTTCTTTAGAAAAATTTTGATTTCGTATGTTTTATTGGAAAAAGAATGTTAATAAGTGTCTTATTGATGTATGTAATTTCATTTAAGAAGCATTTGAATAGATCAAATATTTTCTTGTGTCTTTTGATGATAAGTTTTTTGTATTTATGCTCTCCTTATTTATACTTACATCCTACTCGTCGATACTCATTGTTTTTATAATATTTTTGATAAGGTAGACTTCCACATTTTATAAAAGGAAGTAAAACCAGTCCGAATAACAGAAAATAATTCACTCTCGACATTTTCAGTTAAAAATTTGGAACAAAAAAATTTCCTTCAAGTTTTTCTAGAACTTCACTTGTTGCGCTCAAAATGCGTATAGAGACTGAATGAAAATATTTTTCATTTGATAGTCTAAAAGCTATCGAAAGAGTGCCGAAAAATAATTGGTAAAATGAGACATTCAAAAAGTGGAGGAAAAATGTTTTCGCTTCTTTACGTTCAATTGACTCTTTCTGTTTTGTTTCTTGATTGTTTTTCGTTTTTTTTTTGTTGGCAGAAAGAAAACTATATGCCGACGAAGATTCTTTTGTTGCCTTTTCACTTTCAGTTATTACTTACTCACAATATTTATTTCAAGTGATCATGTAGCGGTGAATGAATATGTACGTGAATAAAATATTGATAGAACTTTTAAAACTTTTGTGTGAGGAATAATAAATATGATTAATACCGGAATCAGCACCTAATATTCATAGCATGTTCAAATTTACAACAAATTATTGTGAAACAAATACTCGGCATACCTCAAATCCAACTCGAATAAAAACACTTAACGGATCAAAAAGAGATGACGATTTTTTTTGCTGAAGGATCATTAAGACCTCTTGATCTAATAAAATTAAGGTTCAAATATATCCTTTTGATTTCAATAATTGTGATTCTTGCTTACTTCAAATTAAAAGAATTTAAAAAGTTCGAAGCTACAACTTAAAAACTTTTTTTTATTTATGAAACACAGTCTCGAACAGCTGCTCCCATTTGTTTGATTTAAAAGCGATATCATTGTTGATTAGAGTGAGTTGTTTACAATAATTAATATTTTTATTTATTATGAAGGTTTTAGTTAAAAGATGTTGAAGTCAATGTATGTAGTTGTCAACGTCTAATTATCGTGTATTCAAAAATCTGATTAATGTTTTAAAATTAAAAAAAAAAACAATATTTTGATACATGGAACTAATATCATTGTAATAATTATTCTAAATTAAACATATGTAAACGTCTGTAAAGGCAAACATTTAATTTAGTGGTTGTTAAATGTTCAATACATTTTGAAGTAAAAAGTGCGATAAGTTCACATTTCTTTTGACCCAGTGCCAATTTAGGCTTTTATAATTTAAAAATGTGTTAATGGAAGTTTTTCCATAGAAATGAATTGCAGTATCTGCCAAACTATTGATTATTCTGAGATAAATTTTAAATTCGAAGCTAGAAAAATAACCAAATCCTTGACTTAAATGTTTTAAAATGTCCCGAAGGCAGAAAAAGTTTAGCAGACACATTCTTTACACTTCAATTTATTTGAAGATAAGATTTGAGTCATTGTGTTTCCCTTCATTTTTCGTGCAATCAGTCTGATTTTAGTTTTGTGACAAACAAGCATTCAAGTTAATTAATAAATTAGTGAATTAATTATCGGTTAAAAAATAGTTTAATGACCAATTAAAATTGTGCTAATGAGCATTATACTTGATGAGCAAATAAAATTTTTTCTGATCACATTTTGGAAGGGCTCACAATCATCAATGAATTAAAAGTAGTCATGGAAGTCGGAGATAAATCAAACGAAATTTTACTACCAGTGAAATCTTTAATTGTTGAATATGAAAAGGAGCTGTATGATTTAAAAAAATTTATTCATCAACATCCTGGCGGTATAAATATTTTGCAGCATAAAAACTACAAAAATATAGATGCAAATTTTAAAAACTCAAATCATTCATTAGCTGCAAAATATTTACTAAAGGAATATAAAATAAGGTCAGACGTTAATAATAAAGAAGGTTTGGAGGTAAAAGTGATGTTTATTTGATCTATATTACAAGTTTCATGATAAGATAATTTAATTGTAGCATTTAGTAGACTGGAATAAAGCGATGGTTCCTCAAATTTCTAAACTTGATAAAAACTATTACGAATGGGTAAACTTGCCTGTTGATCGACCCTTGAAGCTATTTGAATATGATCTTCTTGAAATCTTCACGAAGGTAACAAAGGTACAAAATTTCAAAATATTTAAACTCATTATTAAAATTTTAGACTCCATGGTACCTTCCTTTACTATTTTGGATACCTGTGATTGTATTTTTCATTATAAATGAATCTTCATCGTTTCTTACAACCTTTGAAGTAAGATATTAATTATAAGGCATATTTTGTTTTTTCAAAAAAATATTTTATATTTTATTACTACCCAGATGTATTTGAAAACATTCATTTGGCTTGGAATGGGAATTTGTCTTTGGACATTGTTAGAGTATATTCTGCATAGATTTGTTTTTCACATCAATGTTCTTCGTTATCCACGATTAAAAACATTTCATTTCATGTTTCATGGAAATCATCATAAAGTAAGATTCTCAATTTTTAACTTATCTAGGAATCGAATTAAAAAGTAATTTCATCACTAATTTACTTTTATGTAGGTTCCATTTGATGAATATCGATTAGTTTTTCCTCCAATACCTGCAGCTATTTTAACAGCAATTGGATATCAACTTTTAAGAGTCTTTCATTATTTCAGCTTAATTAGTCAACCCAAACTACTCCTCGCAGGCATATTAATTGGATTCTTAGGCTATGACATGACACATTACTATTTACATTTTGCAAGTCCAAAGAACGCTTACTTTTACAATCTGAAGAGATATCATTACAAACATCATTTTGTAAGCCATGAAAAAGGTTTTGGAGTAAGTAATACATTTTGGGATAGAGTTTTCTCAACGGAAATTCAATTGAACAAGCTCAAATATCTGCTGAAATGGAAGGAATAAGTAAAATCAAACAATATCAATTTGCTTTTTTTTAAAAAATACAGATTTTATTTTATTGAATTTTAACATTTTGAAACTGATGAGCACCTCTTTTAGTCTGTAAAAAAGATGTCTTGTTCAAGCCTCCTTCGTCAGTTACTGAATTTTGAATTAAAATCAACAAATTCAAAATTTAGCATCCAGATCTCACCAACGTGGAGGTGAAGGTAGGCACATGAAATTATCAGATTCACTGAACATTTCTTTGAGATCCGGACACGACAATTAAATAACTGTCGTGCCCCTCAACGCCATTAGTTGAGATTGGCAATAAAAATTCTTTTGGTTTTTGAATTAATTGGTTTTTTGTGCGACCTGTTAGTCACATTATTAAAGTTTAGGCATATTTATTTTGATTATAACCTTGTGGAAGTTTATTTAATTATTTTTGCAATAACTTTTGCATCCAAATCAGCGTTTAGTAATAATTTACACAATGGCCATTATGCAATAATAATATCAATACAAATATTGTCTCCATCAACATCCCTCTAATGGGCTAATAATAAAATTCTCTGAAGCATTTGGAAATGGGACGGACCGGAAAATTCCTTATCAACCATTTCATAAGATCTGAGACAATTTTTAATCCATTCTATAATATCTTCACTCAATATTACAGAATAATTTTAAAATGTTTAATCTTATCAGACCCTTTTATATTATGATTTCACAAATGCATTCAGATATCTTATGTACTTAATTAGAGTAAGAAAAATTCTACTATTTAGTACAGACTACTAACATACACTTTCAAATTAATATAATTAAGTAGACAATACTTTGTGCGATTAGTAAAGAAAAAAAAATCTCTTTGTTATGATGTATGTGACGATGAAAAAAAAGCCCTCGGAAACTCATGAATGGAATTTAAGTTTCCTCCATCCACCCGTTCAGTTGTGCCTCCATCAGAGTACTGAACACACCTTAGATACATTAATTTATATTATTTGAATTTTAATGGAATATATATATCATATTTTGATCTATAAACGGATACATTTCATTTCATTCAAAAATACTTAATTACTTTAAGTGCAACATGTTATATATAATACATAGGACATTATAATTAAAAATCTAAAATATTTCATTGCATTTCCTGCTAAACAAATTCTTCCATAAGCTTCAAATTATATGCGTTAATCAATAAACAAAATTGGCTTTAATCCCTTCATATTCGCACTATATAAAGTAATGAGTAAGTTTTGTTGGCTTTTTTTTTTTTTGATTTATCATTCAAACAAGAGTTTAAGTAAATTAAATCAAAAGAAGGATACAAAGTAAGAGGTGAAAAAATTGGCTCGAGCTTAAAAACAAATTTTTTTATATAAAAGCACTGATTATTGGCATTAATCAATAAAAATAAGTAATATAAAAAGGAACTTTTATATACACTAAACAGAACCCAATTATCACATTAATAAAAAAAAAAGATAGTAATGAAACATGGTGATTAGGTATGACAAATTGTTATTATCCTCATTCTTTAGCAATTCAATAATGTAAATAGATATATCAAAAAATATGAAAATAAAACTTTCAAATGCACGCAACACTTTTTTTTGACTTTCATTTCAACTTTTTTTCAGGTACTTTTTTAATTTTATAATTATTTAAGACTCTTACTACAAAAATATGTTTGCATATCACGTTTCTTATAATCATATCATATAATCAAAGTAAAAATATATAATCACAACACCTACATGATCACGATCGAACATAAAAACTCCTGGAGACATGTGACAAGATTTTAATGTCACATATTCATCGAGACGGATCATCTTTCCTTTCACACTTTTCCGCCCTCTCCACAGGCACTTTCTTAAGCACAGCATTTCTCTGAATGATTCATCATTGTCTCTTCCTCTTTTTTTTTAAAAAAAAAACTTCTCTTGTAACAACTCATAAAACAAACTGTTATAGAACAATCAACATTTTTACATTTTTTTTAAATTAATGGCACAGCACTTGTCCACAATTCATATATTCAACCTTTTTCATCATCATCATCAATAACAACAACATCAGAAACATTCACCGAAAGGAAAATAAGGACGGAAGGGTTTGATTTTTTACTTTTATCAAAAAATAACTGGAAAGAGTCCTTATCATACCGATGAATTTAAGCCAGTGACGAGAATTTTGGCGTGCAAAAAATCTTTTATCAAACTGGCAAATGAAATATATTACTAAGCATAATATAGTCTCCAGGAGATATAAGGGATAATAAAACTCACGTGAACTTTCTTATATTTCAAACTTTAAGTAAAAAACATATCATGATTAATTAAGTTTTAAGTATATAGATAAGGGATAAAAAAAAACATAAACTAATGAATTAAACTAAAATCATAACAAATATTCATATATGTTTGCAATTATAGATGTAAAAACTAAACTTGTAAACGGCACAATCAAAAACGAACTTTTTATTTCATCTGTCGCACTTTCTATTCAACCACTGCTTCAAACTTCATCATCATCATCATCTCTTTCTCTCTGATTGATAATCTCTTTCATAAATTAATTTAAATTCTGCCATATGTCTATATAAAATATAGCATTCTCAATTCTTTTTATGCTAAATGAAAAGAAATAAAGGAAATAGATAGAAAGAAAACGAAAGAAATGTGGACAAAAAAAATATGAATGTCATACTTTCCAACAATTTTCCATAAATAATCCTACATTCATCCTTATATTCGCATAATGTAAATATATTAAAACGTTTTTGTGAGGTGGGTTATGCAGGTGGAAGGTGAAATAAAAATTTGTTTTGATGAATTTTGGGATTTTTTTTTTAATTTTTTGGTTTTATAAAAGGCGAGCGCACATAATCCATGTAATAAGTTTTTTAAAAGGCGATAATATTAAAAGTAGTAATTAAAAACAGATAGAAAATAGAAGATAAAAAATATCAAAAAAATTATGGTGAGATTCCCAGCGAAAGACAAAAATTCAAATCCAAATATGTAAATATATATTAAAAAAAAACTACCATTATACAAGACTCTGACTTGCCCAAAATGCAATACTTGGTTTAATTATGCTGCATCGACATCTTTGGCTTTTGATTACATTTTATTTCAGCTTTTTTTGTTGAGCACTCGCTACGGAATGTATTTTTTTTAAACAATATTTTTTAAAGGATAATTGTGGGACAAAATTTGTACAAATCTTGAACATACACTTTATGTGGTGATGTCATGAGTTGTTCAAATTTATTGTCAAACCACGGATTGGAAAATAAAAGGAGGATCGTCTGGGACAGGCTCTCACAGTATGCGTGCATATGCTTAAATTCTATACATTATACTCGATTCTGCGAAAGTCATTAGTCAACCAGGGTAGCGATTGCGTAGCACATAAAAAAATGGTGCATCTGCCATTGATTTTTGATTACTGTTTTACTTTTCATGCTTGTTTTGTTCTTGGTAAATAAGATTTTTTATGTTTTGCAGTTAAATATAGTTTACATGTATGTAAATATATATATATATATATAATATATAATATATAATAAAAATATACATTTCAAATAGTATTAATTAATTAATTAATGATGTTTGGTACTTTGATGAAATAACAATTACTGATCGAGGTTTAGGTTGATAAAAACAAAGCAAAAATAGTTGATAAGTGTAAAAAAAACCCATTAACCATAAGTTGAATATTGCTCTGAGTAATGCACATTATTATGTTGATGCGGTTTATGTATCTATTAGAAATTGGTTTTATATCAAATTACATTAACTGTCATCTACATACTGTGAAAAAGAAACAAATAAAACAAAGAAAAAAAAAGAAGAAAAACTTTCCAGCATAAAAAAACATGAAAAAGTCCATGTCAATCCGGGACACATTTGAATTGATATATATCGATATGAGCTCCCCATAACCATTACGATATGTATTTTTTCAAAAATAGAAAAGGATTTACGAAAATAGTGTCAGAGAGACACATCGAATACTCAATCACGTGCTTATCACCGAAATGAATGGCGTGATTACTCTATTTTTTAATTAAGCATAACTGAGACAGAATTAAGATTCATTATCAACCAGTTAGCTTATGTTGCATTTATCGTGCACATCCTGCAAACATATCAATATTTCAATGATTTTTTTTATTTTAAGATTATTACCTCTTACATTAAGAAAAAAAATGTATAAAAAAAGAAATAAAAACATCATTATGGTTAGTGTGAATACTTTCATTCATGATGTACATTGTATAAGCAAAAGGGAACGTTATTTTGCAATATGCATGTGACCTGACCATTCAAGACAATTTTAGGAAACACCGGTTAGCGAGTTTCACCGAGCCAGCGAGAAAATCTGTGCAGGAATTTTGTTTTTGGTAACAGCTACAAAATTATTTTAAAAATTTTACTTAATAATTCAAAAATATCAGCAAGTTTTACTTAGGCAAGAAAAATGTGATGTGTATATTCATGATGTTGTATGAGATAGTTTGATGACATTACATAGATCGCCCACTAATTGACATCATACTTATATATATATATAGTAAGAATAATTCAGCATTTACCACATTGACACAACATTAATTAATTGGTCTCATCTCCATCAAAAAGATTAAAATTAAGTTAACTACGTGTTGTAGGACGGATTCTAATGAGAAATCCTTATCAACTACATATTATTTGTTTAATATATGTGCAAGATCATCTGGGACAGAATCGACAGCAAGCCATCGATCGTTATCAAAACCAGGGTAGTCGTCGAACATTGTATCAGGACTAAGAAACTTCCTTGAATAAAATATACATAAAAAAAGAAAAAAATGTTTTGATTTTCTACTGCCAAAAAAAATTAGCATTTTTTTTATCAAAATATTAAATTAATAATATTAATAGAAAAAAAAGGTTCGATTATCCACCTAGAATTCACAAGAAAATTTGGATATGGTTGTGAGAAATTTCAGTGGATCTTACGGTTTTTTTTTTGTTATTCATGGCATATGTGTATAAGCATTATATGTTGTGCAATGAATTCTACTCCAAGAGTATCCCCATTCATCCGCAGGAAAATGATTTTGAAAAATCTGATTGATCTCCTCTATAGAGTTAGTTCTATATCATTTCATTTGTTCCTTAAAATAAGCAAATATTCTCATCATAATTTCAAATTTGTCGTCTTACCAAGACTTAAAACTGACAACTGCTCTTGGAAGATTGATTAATTATTTTAAGTACAGTACTGCACGGTTCAATTTAGAATCGCAATATGAAATTTCCACCCTGTCTATATAGGAATAATAAAAATGAAAACAAAAGGAAAAGAGAAAAGATACTGCGTCCAAGATTTCTTTTTTTTTAACCTGCAATTCATAAGAAAAACTCGTAATTCTGCAAAACTTATTTTTGGCTTACATTCTCGATTAAAACGACTTTAAATTCCACATAAAGGATCGCTATTTTTGTCTTCCTGATTCATTTTTCTTCTCTAAAAAAATATGGATTTTTTTCTTCCGTTTTAGATTTTTTTTACATTTGAGACTTTTTAAAATATATCATCTGTTTGATCTTTTATACATTTCATTAAATGGATTTGGATTCATTAAATGATAAATAATTCTACAGTGAATTAAAAAGAAAATTGTCACTTCGATAACTCTGAAGAAGATTTAACTTCCGCATGACGTCTTTGTATCCGTTTGACCTTAAAATACTTCATATGATCATCTTTAGAATTGTAACTAGTCTTACCGCATAAATTCTTTAATGCAATGGTACTTATAGCTTCTATATGGGTGAGGGAGGGTTGTGTGATGCTAAGATCATCGTTCTATCATTTTCTTCTTAGACGTAGTTTTTATGAAGCTTCGGATAATTTTTCTTTCTCATCTGAAATGGTTTCTAGAAAACTAGCATTTTCTGCTTACGGAATGACCTCAGCGGTTCATTCCTTTAATTTCTACCGAAAGTACATTCGGTATGTTATTTGCCCACCATCCTTCCCGCTTTCGTTTTCAAAGAAGAAGTTAAAAGCTCGCCAAATATTGAAAAATTCATTTTTTTTTTGGTTTCCAGGTCTCGATTTTCATTGATTTTATTTCTATTTTTATAGATTTTGTTTTTGTCTTCATAATTCATTTTATGCGTCATTTAAGTAGCGAATAGTATAGGTTCAATTTAAATGACTATTTAAATCTGATGATTGCAAAACTTCCACGTGTCATTTTCCATTTTAATTTCTTTACTTCCGTCTTTATTCTCATGTATTATTGAGAAGCAAATATTTTAGGCCATTAGTCAAGTTTCTATATTTGCGAAATTATATAAGTAATAACTTTTTTGAGTTTAAGTCTGCATAGTAATTCCATGTAAGTTCTAGTATCCCCACTTTGTGGATGTTTAGATAAAGGTAATGCAGTTTACTTGTATTCTCGTTTTTTTTTTAAACTTTCGAGTTTACTGCTTAAGGACTGTGCTGCCTACACGCCCAACACTGCCAACTGTTTACTAGGACAATATTCCTCCTCATTTTTTCACTAGTATACTTTATTTCCGCTAAGAGAATCTGGGACAGAAACATTTCTCAAAGAGATATGAATCTTTATCTTAAACCAGATGTTGGCGTTGGAATTCTGAGATAGAGACTCAAGGCTTCCCGTCATAGCATCTTTTCCGCATATGACAATATATTTATTTTTTCCAGGTTTCCGTTTCCCTTTTCATCCTGAATGACATTTGCACGATATGCATATGTAACAAATGACAGCTTTTTTCAATTATGCATTGAATTCTTTTTGCACCAACTTTTACCAGGACAGTCTATTTTTTATAAACAGATCTTTATCACTGGTAATTTTATTTATCTATTTAAGGCAACGAATCTATTATCTGGGACTGTAATATTTCTGATATTTCACGGAAATAAATCATTATCGAACCAGATGTTGGTGTGGATAGTTCTCCCATTTTTATTTGATGGAGATTTTTCTATAGATATATTTTTTTTGGATGAATCATGGCATATAGTTTTGCCTATGACATCTTTTCTCAAACTTGTCATTACAAGTTGATGAATCCATTTTTATTAATGGAAATTGCTGATGTATTATTAAAATACACAATATTGATTCTTTGACGTTCGAGAGAGAGAGAGCTATAAAAAGAAGAATTAAATTTTTTTATAAGCGAAAAGAGTTTTTTTTTTAACACAAAGAAGTCAGTCGAATAGATTGCAATGATTCGAGTTTATGAAATTTACAAATACAGTCGCAATATGAATTATATTATATGGTTCGGAATATATATGCATCTATAGTATGAAATATAAACATTTTTAAATGTAGGTGAAAACTTTTTTTTTTCTCGATTTCATAAATTTTTCTTTGTTCTTCTCAAGGTCAAGTAAAAATATCTTTCATTGATATTTAACGAATAAATTTCATACTTTATAGATTTAAAAGACGTAATTAAATGAAAATATTTTCGAATTTCCTTAATATTACTATGAATTAAATATCCCAAACTTGTGAAATTGATTTTTTTTTCGTCTCTGAAAAATTGAAAAAGTTACGACGCCATTTTTATTTTCACCTATTAATTTTATATAATTTTGATTGATATCTAATGGTTTAACGACTTTTGTATGATTAATAAGATTCTTTATATGCTTAATTGTGATAATTATCTGGAAAATTCTCGAAACAATGGACAATTGTGTTTGAAAAAAGGAAAATTCCAGAACTTAGTACGTGGACTTACAGAAATCTCGAAATTATGTGATCTTTGTGAATTTTTCACGAAAATTCTACATATTATCCCATTGTTAAACCTAAGAAACACAAATTTATCACTTTTAGAACCACTTTAACAAATTTAATTAATCACATTTTAAGCTTTTTACCTCAAGGTTTAAACTCTATGAAATCTAGACAAAGAATGAAGAAAATATTATTGTCTTTGTTGCTCGAACTCAAAAACTCCCTTGTGAAAATCTACGGCAATCGAAAATTTGCACAAAGGCTGACCATCTGCCTCAGCAGATCTTTAGAGATTTGTTATCTACTTATTTTCCAATTTTTTATTGCTCCGCTATTCGTTGAATACGATCAAAATAAGTCTAAGAATCCACAATGATTCAGATTCGGAAAAAATGTTCAAAAATTCCTTGTGCACAATATTTTTCTGACACATTAGAAAATTGAAAGTTTTTGTTGATTTCTTTTGATTTGATTCTTTTAGCATCTTCTACATAATATTTTCGTTCATTGCTCAAAAAATCAGTCCTTAATATAAAGGATAAACATGTTTTTTTATCAAAAGTTTGTAAAAGTTTATCAAAAAATATTGTGCATGATCAAACTTTGTATGAAATTTTATGTAAACTTTGATCGCAAATATCTCGAAAACGGCATCAAACGGCATGTCCTCAGTAATATGGGAGATAGATTAAAGCTTATTTAATTGATTTATAAAGGTT